CGTAAAATTTAAAATTAGAAAAACTGACTTACTGTAGACAGTGTTTAGGAAACAATCATTTGATTTCTATTTGGAGGATATTGTCTTCTGTAGATAAACAGGAAAAAGAAATATTTTATCTATCTCATTGTTTTCAACGTTCCTAATAAACTGAAACTGTGATCATTGCTATAAGTCTGTCTTACCATGAGAAATAGGTGTGTCTGACTTTAGTTTTTGCTCCTATATGTGGATTTCATTCAGCAAGTCTTTATTTTGCATTGTAAGTTGTATATACACGAAACGCGGAAGCTTCAAATGCACGTTTCAAGGTTCACTTGTATTCAGTTACTTAAAACAGACTTTAAATAGATAGGACGGTGCGGAAAAAAGTCACTTAAAACGGGAAAAAACTAAAATTGCTAGTTAAAACCTTTACAACGGAATGTTCTTACTACTTTTATTTTATGTAGTATGTGCCGTGGAGTCCAATACTGATAGCACATCTTAATCTCCTTTCCAAAACCATAACTTCTCTACTGGAGTTCCCAGTACAGAGGACTCAAACAGTTGATTCCAACTTATTTGGTATAGAGGCCTAGATGATCGATTGATAAAAGTCTCCATTGTCAAAAACAGTAATTTCATTATGTTTGATGTCTCTCATCCTTTTATCTGATGAATTGGTGCAGAAGATAGCTGGATCTATGCTTATTTAGATTTGGTTTGCTATGTCATGAAAAAAAAATTCCAAACTGTTCGCTCTGATAATTGCTCATTCTTTGTGCTTTAATGTGAACAGATGTTTGCATTGTTGGTGTTGCCCGTACTCCAATGGGAGGCTTCCTTGGTTCTCTTTCTTCGCTGTCAGCGACCAAACTTGGATCAATAGCCATTGAGGGTAGGACTCTAGCTATTTTACACTGTTATTTCATTTGTGAAAACCCCCGATCACTGGCAATTGCAATTTCGTTGAGTTTCAATTAATCTCTCTATTCTTTGAACTTTAGGTGCTCTTAAGAAAGCTAATGTTGATCCATCACTAGTAGAAGAAGTATTCTTTGGGAATGTCCTCAGTGCAAACCTGGGACAGGCTCCTGCTAGGCAAGCAGCATTAGGTGCAGGAATACCCAATACAGTAGTTTGTACAGCTGTGAACAAAGTCTGTGCATCTGGGTTGAAAGGTGTGCACCTTCCTGTTATATTGATTTCCTAGAGACCTCTTCCCCCTTTTACAACTGTTATGTGAGTGAAAGAGGTGGTATTCATTTCTGACAAGATATAATTCTTATGGCTTTGCAGCAACTATGCTTGCAGCTCAAAGTATCCAGTTGGGCATCAATGATGTTGTGGTGGCTGGTGGAATGGAAAGCATGTCCAATGTTCCGAAATACATTGCAGAAGCAAGGTTTGCGTTCTTCAAGAGTCGAATCATTGTGCTACTACATTTTGTTTGAGCTGTGAAGCCCCTAGTCTCCCCTAAGCAAAGAAGGATAGTGATACAGTTGAAACTTTTTTTCGAATGACGGACTTTACAAAGAATGATGCCCTTTCCCAATTTTTTCCCACATTCCTTAGGCACATCTCATAGTAATGTCTACAACTTCATACCTACCCGTGTTGTGATTCAACAATGTACACATGTCCCCAATTCTTAATAAGCCTAACAATTGCAAAGCCAGCTCGTATTGCTATTGACCAGCTTTCCTCACTTCTTATTTTTCATGCTTCCACCTAAACCAGTTTATGATCTGTTCTTTGTCAGCCAAATTTTTTTTAACCTCTCCCCACCGAGTTTTATATGGTTATTTATTGTTTGGAACATGGTAGACTGTTGCGCTGGTCACTTGTATTTTTGCCTTTGAAGAAGTTCTGATTAGTTATGGTACTTCAATTCTGTGTTATCAATACCCTTCATTGCCATGATTGCAGGAAGGGATCTCGTCTTGGACATGATAGTCTTGTTGACGGAATGCTTAAAGATGGTTTGACTGACGTATATAAGGATTGTGGTATGGGAGTTTGTGCAGAAATATGTGCCGAAAATCATAAAATCACAAGAGAGGAGCAGGTTTGTCTTTTTCACACGTCTTTGCTTTTACTTGATGTGCTGCAAGGTCGGCTTTGATTTTAACTCTGACGTATAGCTTTGTCTGCTCTTGGTTTATCTAATTTTTGCTTATATGCCAATTCCTTGCTATCTTTCCTTTTGCTTTGTTTTGATGTTTAAAAATAGATTCCACCATTTGAAGAAGGTTCCGCTTTTGTGAGAATCAATTAAAGGTTCCGATACATGCTGTCCCCCACTTTTCTAATTTCTCTTTTTATTTTTTAATATGAAGTTGAACCCTTTAGATTATCTATCTTACCACACTCCTCATATTTGAAACCAAAGTAAAGTAGCATTCTGTTTTTTCTTTGATATCAGCCATCTGCTTTGTAAATTTGCTGAAAATCTTTTTATTTTCTGAAGGAGTCCAGTACTTATGTCTCACTTATATATGCAGGATGACTATGCAGTTCAAAGTTTTGAACGTGGCATCGCTGCTCAGGAAGCTGGTGCTTTTGCATGGGAGATTGTGCCGGTAATATGACTTGCTCTTGGTCTCTAAATATTGCTCCATACTCAAAAAATGCATGTTACAGTTTGTTTGTCGCTGTTCTGACGAATCCTGACAATTTGCAGGTTGAGGTGCCTGGGGGAAGAGGAAAACCATCCATTATTGTTGATAAGGATGACGGTCTAGGAAAGGTGAGTACATTGAGTTGGCTTTTTGTCACTCAAAGCAAAACAAAATGACATACATGCTTTGTTCTTCACATCTTCTCTTCAAGTATCAAGTCCTCTTTGATACTTAATTTACTGAACCTCAGACCTACTTGGATGAGAAGAGAAGTAGAATAGCTAGAAGTGAATATTAAATGCAGCATAGAAATCACTTTAATTTCTTTTTTAGCGGGATTAAAGAATATTAGGAATAATTACATAGTACCCCATCTTTATGCCTTCGGGGCACCAAAAGGATCAGATATGTGAATTTACTTTTTTGGCACTTAAAAGATGTTCATGATATAGTCACGTGCATTTATAGTGCTTGTCGTCTCCTGCCTTTGTCACACATATAATTTTGTTTCCGTCTTGCAGTTTGATGGTGCAAAATTGAGAAAACTCCGACCAAGTTTTAAGGAAAAGGATGGTACTGTGACTGCTGGTAACGCTTCTAGCATAAGGTTTGTGGACTTAATTTTGTTCTGCTAGTTCTCACATGTTTAACAAAAACTGTTTGTTAACCTAACAAACAAATGCATCTCCTACTCCAATACATTTTAACTACTCTAAATATTACTTGCACTATCGATCTCTCTGAAAGTACTGCATCGCAAAATATAGCTGATAAAGATCACCTAATTACAGTAACAGTATCTTTACATTTCTGGTTCCTTTTGAAAAGTGAATATATTACACTTTGCATCCATAGAGGGAGTGAAGTTATTCTAGTCATCTACTACGCTGCCTTAAAAACATTTTTTAAGAACTAGCTACAGAACTTCAAAAGATTCTTGGTCTTCCTTTCTTTAAAATTAATGGCAAGTGAAATCTTTCGTTTTCAGTGATGGAGCTGCTGCATTGGTCTTAGTAAGTGGAGAGAAGGCGATAAAACTTGGACTAAATGTGATTGCAAAGATCAGTGGCTATGCTGACGCTGCTCAGGTACTTTATCTTTGAGTAAAGATTTAAGGCTACCCTCCAAATAAAATACTAGTATTAATGGATAATATATCTTTTTGTCTCCTGTTCTGGTGGATAGACTTGCACTCTTGATGTTCAAATTTGAATTAAATCTTGCAGGCACCTGAATTATTCACAACTGCACCTGCTCTAGCAATTCCAAAAGCTATCAAAAGTGCTAGCTTAGAGGCTTCTCAAATTGACTACTATGAAATTAATGAAGCTTTTGCTGTATGCACTCTTACCTAGTTCTTTTAAACTAGCATGCTTTATTTGTGTGAGCACCTTCCTTAACAGATCTGCTTGCAGGTGGTATCTCTTGCAAATCAAAAGCTGCTTGGTCTTAATCCAGTAAGTTCACTATCTCTCCAATAGGCTGTATTATTGAGATTCAAAATTTGTTACTCTCTTCAACCTCGGGTTTTTTTCAGATGGGATCTATTTATTTTTAGAAAACTAATTTGCAGTATATGCTTTTATGTAAAAATGGAACAAGGATAAGATACATAAAGGCATAAATTATTTGGTTTGCAGTACTTTATTTAGTATGGCAACAAGCATGGAATGATCCGTACAATGAAGTAACGTTTTGGTTTGTTCACTCAGGAAAAAGTTAATGTACATGGTGGAGCTGTATCTTTGGGGCACCCTCTTGGATGCAGTGGAGCTCGTATATTGGTTACACTTCTTGGGGTATGTGTTATTACTGCAATACATAACTATTATTGGAATAAGATTATAAATGTTAAGAACATAGCCATTCCCCTGCTCTCTTAAATTTTTCGTCCTTTATTCTGCTAACCATGAAATCTATGAACTGGAATCCCCCAACTTTTACTTTTGGTTCTTGTCATAAATTTTTGGGTTTTTAGTTAAATGGTTGCTTCTTGTAGTTCTTAATATGATCTTGTCTCCTATTCATGGTTGTTGAAAATTTATCATCCTTTTGATGTTTGTTTCACATCCATTTTCCCAATGTGATGTTTCAGGTATTGAGACAGAAAAACGGCAAATATGGCGCTGCTGGTGTTTGCAATGGCGGAGGAGGTGCCTCAGCCCTTGTCCTAGAGCTTGTGTAATCCTTGTTGGCTTTTGGTAAGTCTGAAGATTGGGAACTCATTTGAGAATTAAGTTTACCAATGTGATATTGGATATATACTATCCTTGCATTTGCTGCTATGGATTTCAGAGGTGCTCTGATCGATTTTCAACCGGTTAGCGAATGGTAATTAGAATCGGAATAGTATGTAAGGGATGTTTATTAAGATAACCACAATTCCAGAGCTACTTGCTTTAATAAGGGTTCTCCAAAATTTCACCAGTCAATTAACAACTGAATTCATGATCATCTTTTTTGTTCTTCAAATAAAATTAGAGCAGCTGTACAATGTAGTTACTGGTGCTGTTAAACATTGAAAAACAATATCTCCTTGACTCACAACATAAGCTAAGAAATGGTTAAATCGCTAGGGGATTGCTCATTGAATTGCCATCTCTTGTCCTTGTCCCTCCGCCGCACCCCTTCCCACCTACAACCAGAGAGGGCAGTCTGGTGCACTAAGCTCCCGCTATGCGCGGGTCCGGGAAGTGCCTTCCCACCTCCAAGGCTCCAACCAAAAAAAAAAAAAGAAACATCCCTTTGCGGAGAAATAGAGCAATAAAAAGTTCTAAGTACAAGCCTTATCACTTGCATTGGAGTCATTTTTTAGTTGCCTTAGCAATTGCTTCCACTTGCAGGTTACATGATGCTTGCAACGGATTAGAACCGGCAGTGCGCCTTCAGCTAGAGATGATTGTGCAACCTGTTTTTTTTTTTTTTTTTTTTTTTGGTTCTTATTTTTTCTTTTTCCTTGTTAGTGTTCTTTCAAGTTGTATTCTTCCTAAATAAATGAAAGTTGCTTCTTCAGAATTAGCGACAGATCTCCCCTCTCCCAATTTCAACAATCCCATTGCATTCCTCCTAGCACTTAATCCTCACACTATTTGCAATATTTTCATGTGTTGGCAATATAGAGTCCACATTTGTTACATGAAAAAAAGGTACGTAGTTCATTAGTGACTATACATTCACTAGATAGAAGTTCTATCGCCATATCCTTATTAGAACACGACAAAAAAGACTGAGGATTCCAAAGAATTGCATATCATTTTTCCAATTGTAAGCAACAACTATGTATATCCAGTAACCGGTGTAGGACGTTCATAGTTAGCTATTGCATAATAAGAAAAATTGAATTTCATTAACCTGCATACTACTGTATATATAAAAAGTCACCTGCTTTTTGCAAGGCCAACGCTCATGTCATACAACTCCAACTAGCTCTTAAAGAAGATTTACAATATCCTAATGCTCTTGTACACAAATTTAATTTTATCTTTCTGTAGGGTCTTTTGGAAATAGTCTTTTTGCCTTCTGGACACAAATTTACTTTTATCTTTTCTAAGTAGGGTCTTTTGGAAATAGTCTTTTTGCCTTCTCGAAGGTAAGGATAAGGTCTGCTTACATACTACCTTTCTCAGACCCCACTTGTGAGATTATATTGCGTCTTGTTGTTGTTGTTGTCGTCGTCGTCTTGCACACTAATTTGAAATTATCAATGAAAATAGCAGCTAAAAACATAGGAAAACCATAAATACAGCCAGCTAAGAATGAGATGTCCACTGGTGTCGTCCTCAGCCCCTTAGAAAAACAAAAGGAAGCATCAATAAATTACACGGAATTGCAGATATTATATCCTTAAATTACAAATTCCTATGTCATTGAAGTAAACAAATCAAAGTGTTACTCCAAGAAAGTGGTAACCAAACAAGAGGATCCAGTTGTAAAGAGAAAAATACCATAAACTATTTATGGCCTATCAACTTGTAGTAGTATAGAGGCTCACAATCTTAGCCTCGACCCTTGTGTTCCAGCTATGTAATCTTTATGGGGTTTCCACCACAATATGTACCACGCTTTTTTTTCCGCGGTTTTTCGCTCGTGTCTAGTATCCATATTGAATTTCTGGCTATTTATGATAATATAATATCGTTTTCTAAGATATATTTATTATTGTCAAGTATTTTAAAAATAAATTTTTATTTATATTTGTCACTTTTCACATGTCAAGAGAAAAATAATTTATTTTTCCTGTTTTGCCCTTAGCATTAATTACTCATTCCAAATCTATTAAGACTATACACCGATTAATATAGGTATCATGGTAAATTATGCATTTAATTAGGTTGTTTAGAAATTGATTTTTTCTTCGATAAGATTTTCTTCAATATTCAGTACCTTTTTCCTATACGACCACTCTAAAAGGTGGACAATTTTCATTAAAATAAAAGAGTTCATATTCTTTTTATCGATTAACTTTCGGCTCCATATTAAACCAGAAAAGAAAAGTATTTGATTCTTATTTTAAAATATTCCTATTTAGTCGAATTAGAACATTTAAATTAGAAAGAAGTGAGTAATTAGCTTTCGCATTTATGTCAAATTAAGACAAGCGATGCTTGCTTTAATGTTCGAGCACCTCCATCACTAGTCCATGGATTAAAGGTTTGGGTCATGTGAAGATAAATCGATAATGAAAACTTACATAAAATCAATGTTAATAGTAAATTAGTATATGCATTAATGAGTAATGACAAGTGTTATTCAACTATTAAGATGAATGACACCAAACTAACAAATACGTAATAACCATTAATCAATGAATTTAAGTTATATTCATTGACAGTGTAAAAGTATTTACACAATTAACTATATTTAATAGCATTGTTTAAGATTTTTTAATAAATGATGTGTAATTAGTCTTTACAAATTAAATAGTGATGATATAAAAAATGTATAATATTTTTTTTTAATCAATTTATTTGGTGTAAACATCATATACAAATAAATCCTTTCAATAAAAACACCATTCATCTTCCCAAAATGAGGTGGGGTTAGAAAAGAATTTGTGTCAAATTCTTAATTTACATTTAATCATGATGAAATTCATCAAAAAGGGAAAAAACAAAAAGAAAATTGAGAGAACTAAACCTGAAAATGGGCCCACAATCGAAGGATGGCCCACTTTGAAGCCAGCTGTACGTCTATCTATCTACCCTCCATTTGAGAGTCCCTTTCCTTTTTCATATTCTTCTCTCTCTGTAACCTTTCCGTTTCCATTTGCAGAGACAGAAAGGAGAGAATTTCTCTTTCCTTTTTTATTTATAGCAATTTTTTTTTTACAAATATAAATAAATCAAATAGCAATCCCAAAAGAGACATAACAGTTTCGTTTTCCGAAAGAGTTTTCTCTCTGTTTCTGTCTAAAGAAGTCATGGCGGTATGATTCTCAATTCCCTTTACATTTCTTTTATTATTTTTTGTTTTAAATAAAAAATACCCTTTTTAAGATTTTGATTATGAGCTAGTTCTTTGTTCTTCTCTGAACTCCTTTTGTTAAAAAGGGGGGGGNAAGGGGGGGGGGGGGGGAGGAGAAGAGTAGGCTTATGAATTATTTAGTTTGTGTTAAAATTATTGTTCATAATTCTAAGATGTTTTATTTTGGGTGATTTATGATATTTAGGTCTTGGTATAATTTCTTTTTGAGATTTTACTGTGTATTTTGTGTCTGGTTTTAATGTTGAGGAAAGAAACTTTCTATTTTCATGGTGAATTTGTTTTTTTGTTTTTTTTTTGGTTTTTGTTCTTGCCCTTGAAACCTTTATTCGTTTATATTTTAAAGATTGAATTTTTGGTTTTTTAGAAGTTAAGTGGTTGAAACTAATACTAATAGAATAGAAGCTCAGAAGGTTAATGGCAATATTTTAGGATTATCTTTTTTTTTTTCGACAGTAGTATCAGGGCAGCTTACCTCAACTATTTCATTGGATACCTACTACCTCATGCCGGCACAAATACCGAGTAACTCTATCTACCAAGTGCTGGAATGATAGGAAGAAATCACTTGTTTCGAGGTAGTAGATGTATGGTGGAATAGTATGTTCGCCCAAGGTGGCCCGAACACCACCATCGTAAAAGAAAAAGTTAATACACAGAGACATTTTCCCTTTATTACTATGTTTCTGTTTCAGTCATTCCAATTCTCTCTGTGTTTAGTAACAGATTGTTTGTCTGGGTTTCTAGTTTTTTGCATAAAACCTTTTGCTTAATATTTTGAAAACATTTCACCAGTAAATGGTACTATTTGCTTCTACAATTTACTTTTATGGTTTTGATGTAATCCTATTCTTCTGAAATAATTACTTTAACAGGATAAGCTGCCATATATTTGCTTTTATTTACTCATAGTTATCACCTGAATACTTTTCATTATTTTGGATAACAACAAAAACCATGTCAAAAATAATGCAATGTACCCAAAATTGTAATGCTAGACCAAGTTGTGATTCAAAATCATGTTTAGGTCACATACTTTTTTGGTGGAATATGGGAAGGGGTTGACAGATTCGTGCGCTAAACGCATCTCTGTATGTCCTTTGCCCCCTCCCCTTCCGAGAAGGTCTTTGCATGCACTTGAGAATCTTATGTTCGTGCACTCTTTTGCTGCTTGACTTACTTTGCAATGCTAAAGCATTTGCTTAGTGCAAGCCATAATAGGAAATAACATTATCCAGATACGGTATTATGTTTATGTATTTGACTCTTATTTGATTATGTTTAATTTGCCATTAGTAGGTTTTTTGCACCAGTGTCTATTGATGGTGTCCATCTCATTCAAAAACCAAAGTAATAGGCATGTGCCTAAGTAAAGTTTCTTTGGTTTGGTAGTCAACCTTATTGAATTGGTATGGTTTGGTAGCCAACCTTATTGACTTGGTTTGGTTTGGTACCCAAACTTGTTGAAATTGTGAAAAGTGTGTACAAATTGTCAAATATTTTATTTAGGCTTTAGAGAGTGAGGTTTTGGCTATACAAGCAGAGCTTCAACTCTCATTTCTACACACCAAAAATCTTAGACAATACATCTGAGTGAAAGTTAGAGAGCAAGGTATTCCATAGACTATAAGAAAATAGTCTGTGAAGAAAAATAGAGTGTGAGAGATATTGTGGTGAGGTGGAAAAAGCAAAAGAGTGTTTTTTTCTTTTGAGGGTGTAGTAATCTAAGGAGTATTTGTACTCGTTACTACACAATGTAAAATTTTTCGCTATAGTGATATCAATTGCTCTTCTTGGCTGTGATTTTTCCCTTATTCAGAAGGGTATTCCACGTAAAATCTTGGTGCATTATTGCTGCATTTTTACTCTTGTTGATTTAACCATAACTTAGTGTTTCGCATTTATCACTAATACCGTGAATATTATTTTATGGGTCTATTTTTTCAACAAGTGGTATCAGAGCTAAGGTTCTATCTGAGTATGCTCTTTGGTTGCAGCACAGTCTGAACTTCCACATCAGAAAAGAATTACTTTGGTCTCCTAATAAATAGTATTTGTATTTGTGATAAAAGATGGAAGCCAACACTAGTAGAATGGTTACTTTGATTGGCACAAGTTATGCCATTTGGAAGGGCAAAATGGATCAAATGAAGAGTGTAATTTGATACACAGATAGGTTTGCGGCTTTATTATACAGTGGGTTGACGATAATGTTTTAAACCATATTTCTGGGGAGACACATGCTCGGACCCTATGGGAGCACCTTGAAAGTTCGTATGCTCGGAAAATCGGAAACAACAAGATGTTTCTGATAAAGCAGATGTTGGGTTTAAAATACCACGATGGTTCCGCGATGATAGATCATCTGAATAATTTTTAGGGGATCATGAACCAGTTATCTGCTATGGGCATTAAATTTGATGAAGAAATTCAAGGCTTGTTTCTACTTGGTTCCCTGCCAGATTCTTGGGAAGTTCTTAGAACTTCATTATCAAATTCTGCTCCGTATAATGTGATTTCTATGGATTTTGCCAAGAGCAGCCTTTTAAATAAAGATATGAGAAGAAAATCTCAGAGTTCCTCCTCATCAGATGTCTTGGTGACTGACTCTAGGGAGAGAAGCAAGAATCGGAGTTCTCAAAATAGAGAATATAATAGAAGCAAATCCAGAAGCAGACTTAAAGATATTGAGTGTTATCATTACGGGAAGAAAGGGCACACAAAAAAGTTCTGCCAGATTTTGAAAAAGGAGAATAGAGACAAAGGAAAAACAGAAAGAAGATGACAATCGTGTGGCCACCGTCACTATAGAAGATCTTGTTACTGTCCTTGATGTGGATCTGATAAATATTGCTCGTGATGAATCAAGCTGGGTTGTGGACAGTGGTCCCGCATCTCATGTGGCATCAATGAAGGAATTTTTCTCATCCTATACTTGGGGTGACTTTAGAACTTTGAGTATGGGTATGAGACTGTATCTAGGGTGACTGGTGTTGGAACGGTTTGTTTGGAAACTAGTATTGGAACTAAACTAGTTTTAAACAATGTAAAACATGCACTTGATGTTCGTTTGCACTTGATCTCTGTTGGTGTTTTGGATGATGAGGGATATATCAGTACTAATGGTGCTGGAAATTGGAAACTCACTAAGGGTTCGGGGTTCCATGATTGTGGCTCGTGGGGAAAAACGTCGTGGTCTATACTGGAGTACGACCTCTACCTGTGTTGATACGGTGAATGTCGTTGAGAGCAATAGCTCTTCAACGTTATGGCATAAGAGACTTAGCCACATTAGCGAGAAAGGACTAAATGTTCTGGCCAAGAAGAAATTGTTGTTAAATTTTGAAAGTGCAAAATTAGAAAAATGTGAGCATTGCTTGGCTGGAAAACAAAAAAGAGTTTCTTTCCAGTCTCATCCTCCTTCAAGAAAGATAGAATTGCTTGGGTTGGTGCATTCAGATATATGTGGTCCAATGAAGACAAGGACTTTGGGTGGTGCACTTTATGCTACCTTTATTGATGATTGCTCAAGGAAACTTTGGGTCTACATCTTGAAGACTAAAGACCAAGTGTTGGGTGTCTTTAAGCAGTTTCAAGCTTCAGTTGAAAAAGAAACTGAAAAGAAGCTGAAGTGTATTCGTACTGATAACGGTGATGAATATTGTGGACTGTTTGACGAATACTGCAACCAACAGAGTACCAGACACCAAAAGACTCATCCTAAGACTCCTCAGCTTAATGGTTTAGCACAAATGATGGACAGGACCTTGATGGAAAGAGTCAGATGTTTGCTTTCTGAAGCAAAGTTGCCGAACTCCTTTTGGGGTGACGCTTTGTTGACCGCCGCACATGTTATATTAATCTATCCCCTGCGGTTGCTTTGCAAAGTGATGTTCCAAACAGAGTTTGGTATGACAAGGATGTTTCCCATGACCACTTGAACAGAGGCGGATGTAGTGCATCATTGATGGGTTCAACAAGGTTGGCTACCAAACCAAACCAAGTCAACAAGGTTGGCTACCAAACCATACTAATTCAACAAGGTTGACTACCCAACCAAAGAAACTTTCCTTAGGCACATGTCTATTGCTTTGGCTTTTGAATGAGATGGACACCATCAATCTCCCCCTCCAGTCTCATTTATCTAGAGGAGGTAGCATTGTCTTCTAGTTTGAGTGCATGCCACCAAGTTCTTTGCATACCAAGTTCTTTGGTCAACATATCAGCAGGATTTTCTGTTCTTCTTTGTCTCTATTCTCCTTTTTAAAAATTCGGCAGAACTTCTTTGTGTGCCCTTTCTTCCCGCAATGATAACACTCAATATCTTTAAGTCTGCTTCTGGATTTGCTTATATTATGTTCTCTATTTTGAGAACCCCGATTCTTGCTTCTCCCCCTGGAGTCGGTCACCAAGACATCTGATGAGGAGGAACCTTGAGATTTTCTTCTTATCTCTTCATTTAAAAGACTCCTCTTCGCAAGATCCATAGAGATCACACCATACGGAGCAGAATTTGATAATGAAGTTCTAAGAACTTCCCAAGAATCTGCTAGGGAACTAAGTAGAAACAAGCCTTGAATTTCTTCATCAAATTTAATGCCCATAGCAGATAATTGGTTCATGATCCCCTAAAAATTATTCAAATGATCTATCATCGCGGAACCATCGTGGTATTTTAAACCAAACATCTGCTGTATCAGAAACATCTTGTTGTTTCCAGTTTTTCGAGCATACAAACTTTCAAGGTGCTCCCATAGGGTCCGAGCATGTGTCTCCCCAGAAATATGGTTCAAAACATTATCTTCAACCCACTGTCTAATAAAGTTGCAAACCTATCTGTGTATCAAATTACACTCTTCATTTGATTTATTATCAGGCTTTTTAGTGGTGAAGATAGGTTGATGAAAATTCTTGACATAGAGCAAATCTTCCATTTTGCCCTTCCAAATGACATAATTTGTGTCAATCAAAGTAACCATTCTACTAGTGTTGGCTTCCATCTTTTATCACAAATACAAATATAAATATTATTTATTAGGAAACCAAAGTAATTCTTTTCTGATGCGTAAGTTCAGACTGTGCTGCAACCACAGAGCATACTCAGACAGAACATTGGCTCTGATACCACTTATTGAAAAAATAGACCCGTAAAATAATATTTACGGTATTAGTGATAAACGCGAAACACTAAGTTATGGTTAAATCAACAAGAGTAAAAATGTAGCAATAATGACATCAAGATTTTACGTGGAAAACCCTTCTGAATAAGGGAAAAACCACGACTTAGAAGAGCGACTGATATCACTATAGCAAAGAATTTTACACTGTATAATAACGAGTACAAATACTCCTAAGACCACTACACCCTCAAAAGAAAAAACAGTCTTTTGTTTTTTCCACCTCACTACAATATCTCTCACACTCTATTTTTCTTCACATACTATTTTCTTATAGTCTATGGAATACCTTGCTCTCTCTCACTCAGATGTATTGTCTGAGATTTTTGGTGTGTAGAAATGAGAGTTGAAGCTCTCCTTTTATAGCCAAAATCTCACTCTCTAAAGCCTACAATATTTAACAATTTGCACACATTTTCTACAATTTCAACAAGGTTGGCTACTAAACCAAACCAAGTCAACACGGTTGGCTTCCAAACCATACCAATTCAACAAGGTTGACTACCAAACCAAAGAAACTTTCCTTAGACACATGCCTATTACTTTGGCTTTTGAATGAGATGGACACCATCAATGTGATGATTTGCAGCCTTCTCAATATTGCATCTTGTGACATTTCAATATCGTCAACAATCATAATTTAGCCCTTTCTCAATTTTGTTTGTGGCAGAAGTTTTGTGGAAGTTGGGGGTGGGGTTGGGGGTGATGATTCTTCTTGTTTCTGTCTGATCAGTGCTATTTGTGAAGTGTGATGCTTTGACTCATTTATCATTAGTAGGCATTAGGCATTTATCATGTCAATTCAATATATTGTTGATGTTATTGTATTGTTTTTTATTTTATAACATAGAACTGTAGAACTACAATAATCCTGATAGTTTTCTTCTTTTTTTTTAAAAAAAAAATCTCTACAGGAAAAAGGGCGTCCACTTCCTAAGTTTGGAGAGTGGGATGTCAATGACCCAGCTTCAGCTGAGGGATTCACAGTGATCTTTAATAAAGCTCGAAATGAGAAGAAAGGTGGCAAGATGGACTCACCACCGAAGGGTGATTCTGCATACAAGAATAAAGCAATGCTTGGAAAGCCTCAATCAGTAAGTTGTAGTCCACATATTGTCTATCAGTTCTGGTGGTTCGTGTTATTTTATACGGATTACCATTCCACCCTCAAGTTTGATTGTATGGGGAAAAAGGTTCTCGAAACCTTGTAAACACAATAAGTTACATTTGTGGAGAAGGGTATTTGAACTGGTGTTCTAATAGTATATCCGTACTAACAGCTGAAATAGTGGACGGTTGTGGTACAACATAAAATATCATCGATAAAGATAATGGTTGCCATGATATGTCCTGTATTGTTTACAAGGATCTATTCTGTATAGTTATAGTGCTAATTCTCCAAGAATTGACCGCATTCGTCAATTATTTTTGGAGCTTCACTATTTGCAAAAGGTGAATACGATTAGTTGTGCATTAATATTTTAGTTAATGATGTTTAAGATCAAAGACAGTTACGTGGTTGCTCATCTCGTTTTCTCAAGTAACATGTCTGCATTTTATACATAAATTCCAGATTATAACTTTTGAGTGCACTGTCTTTCAGAAAAAATGGTTTTGCTGTATGCAATCTACTGCGGCCGAATCATGAACTGTCTTAGCTGCTACATACTGCACTGGAAAGTGATGTTGGTTGGAACCAGACTCTACGAGTGACCTATAACACTAGAGCTGTAGTCATGATCTGATGAGGAATACTGGGATTTTTGCTGTTGTATTTTGGAATATTTGCTCAAATTGCAGGCTTTTGCTGCCAAAATATTAATGATATATATTTGTTTATTTTTTTATCTTGACTACATCATTGCTTCTGTTATTTTGATTTTCTTGCCAAGCTAAGGAGGGATTGGTTAATCTTAATTGATTTATTGGCGTTCTTGATTGGCATTCCTTGCAATGAAAACATAAATATTGAAAGCTATACAAAGACACACATATTTATCTAATTATCATTGTTGTAAGGTGTTTGTTTAAATTAGCTTCATTAATCACACTAGTTTGTAGTTATTGAATTATCCTTGGCATAACTGGTAAAGTTGTTGCCACCAGGAGGTCACAAGTTCAAGTCGTGAAGACAGCCTCTTGCAGAAATGCAGGGTAAGACTTCGTACAATAGTCCTTCCGACCCTTCCCTGGACCTGCACATAGCGGGAGTTTAGTGCACCTAGTTGCCCTTTCTTTATCTATTTACACCATTATAAATGATACGGAATTTTTTATACTCCAATCTAAACATGCTCATATCAAAAACAATTTAGACAATCCAAATCAAAGAGAGACGTTTTATAATCATTCAACTATCATCATTTGTGTATCGAACTAAGGAATAACTATACATTATAGACATCAAAATTTTCTTGATTAGCAAGACTGGCTCCAAGTTGTCTAATTTGGTAATTGCTTTAGGTTGCAGGTTTCAATATCATGAATTTCTGACTCTGCCACTGCTTTAGACTCTAGATGACTAAAGCTTCTTCTCAAAAAGGCGTCGCAGGAGGAAACTCTGAAGCTCAGTAACCAAAAATAGAGCTATTGATTCAACAATGGCCTTGGTCATCGCTCTTCGCCCCATACCTTCATTCACTGCATTTCCAGCAGAAAAATATTAGCCCACATATCAATATGCATTTCTCTCAAATAAAAAGCAACTTTTTCTCTTTCTTTGGGTGTTTTTGGTATTTCAGGAAATATTTTCAATTTTTTCATGTTTGGTTGACCTAAATATTTTCCTTATAAACAAAATGACTTCCCTACCCCACTGCTCACACAAATGTTAAGTAGAAACTTGTTTACCCCAAGATAGGGGTAAGGTCTGCGTACACACTACCCTCCCCAGACCCCACAAGAGGAGATAAAATATTTTCCTAAACTCTCTTTCAACCATATAAGGTTCATAAGATGATACTGTCAAAATAGCACTGGCTAGCCATTTTTCGGACTGGTAATCGAAACTAGCCAGCGTTTGCGAAGTCATTGAAAAATAGCCACTGTTTTGTTGAAACACAGAAAGTTCCAGCATAATATGCGGGATTATGGAGCTCCTGCGTATAAACTTCCAGCATATTATATTGGAATTCCAGGGCACGACAGCATAATATGCGGGATTATAGAGCTCCTGCATATAAACTTCTAGCATACTATGATGGAACTCAATTCCAACATAGCTCATATGTAAAAAATCCGAACTCCAGCATAATATGCTGGAATATTTCCGAATTTTTAGCAGTGTTTTTGTTCATATTTTATCTTACATGAAAAATGGCTAAATTTCGATTACTTTTGAAATTTTACTATTTTTCAATTACCAGTTATAAATGTGGCTATTTTTGAATTTCACCCGATGATACCTGATGCCTGACGCTCAGTCTGCGCTTCAAGCCAATGCTGTTCAACCTGTATCTTCTGAAGAGCTTCTTCTAACTTTGATATATGTTCCAGCAATGGATCAAAGTGTTCTGGATCCATTTAACACGAAAGCATCACACTTGTAAGTGTAACCATAGAGAGTTGCAAGAGAAAAAATAAGAAAAACTGACCAAAAATGAAAGAAAAAAGTATGGTTATGAACCAAGACGATTATTACCATCTTTTGCAGGCTGATTGTAGTGTGTAAAATGGCTAACATGTAAATCAAAGTCCATGTATTCATGGTAAGGCGAGTTATTTGTAAAACAAAACTGATAAACGCCTTTTCTCTGAGCCCTAAACTCATACATTTCACTAGACTTGTCGCGAAACTCATGAACCGGCTCACCAGAAGGCCCCTTTATCTGATAATTAAACAGAACTATATGTTAACAGTGTTGCAATGAAGAAAATGGAAGAAACAGTTTAATACTAGACATAAGAAACCTAAATTGTTATGCTTTCTAGATCCTATGCTCAGTTGCTTTTGATAGCACTAAAGTCATGATTTTTATGTTTCTCTTTTTCCTTAAAATCCTCGCTTTGTTCCATCCGCTGCTGCTGTTGACTCTTTCTAATCATAAAAGTTGGAAACATAATTACGTAAATAAAAGTGTGCTCTCTAACAACTTAAGGTTTTAGATGAGATGGACATAATTCAATATGGTATCAGAGCAGGCTGAGGTTCAAAGTTCTGAGTCTCACTGCAACAACCTATTATCAGGAAATTACCACGTGTTTAGTTTGGCATATAAAAAAGAATCAGGACAGCATGTGAGCTGGCGTGTTGGAAACAAAAATAGGCTAAACTCTCAGCAATTTATACCCAAACCAGAATATTGTTCATCTCAACCAGTTGGTATAATTTCCTACACTAATCCTATGTCTATCATTCCACAAATCACAAAATACGACGACAACAACAATAATAACAAGTGGAGTCCGGGGAAGGCAGTGTATAAGCAGACCTTACTCTAAATGTAGAGAGGCTGTTTCCGATAGACCCTCGGCACAAGGAAAGATACAAAAAGAAACAGTAACAACAAGGCAAGATAAATCCCAGAACACGCACTACATATATATACAATAGAAACAAGAATCGATTTTTCCTAATATATGCTCACATATTAAAAAAAAAAAAAAAAAAGACATGGATACCATGGAAAAACAGAAAACAAAAGAAGTGCATCACCAGAAGATGGAGGGACGGCTCAGTAGTATAATAATGCCAGGGAGTGTCAGGTGCGATGACAACAAAGGAGAGTTGAAGAGTGTCTCCATCGTATTCTACATTCTGAGACAAACACTCTTCTCTGTCTATTACAAATCTAATTGCATGAATTCCCTTCCCCCAACACATGACCCCCAACAACAGTAATAGAGCCACTGTTACTGCCATTCTTGACCATGACGACCCTATTCCCATCTCTATTTAGGTTTATCAATTTTAGCCAAAAATAGTATGTATTGGATATATGGTTGCTTTTTTATTTACCTTCAAAATCCAAGGAAGAAGTGAATGGACTGAATAAAATAGGTTTAAGAGAATATTTGATGATTGGCCAATATATATACTAGTTCTAGGAAAGAAGTAACGAACTCTTTCGGTTTCAGTTGTACTAAAATTCTTCCTACTTTTTCCCTATGCCTGTCAATGCTACGTTTAACTCTTACACGTTTTTTCTTTTCCTTCCCTAACTGGACTTACAAAGATCTTTTTTTTTCTTCACATAATTAATAGAGTAGGAAATTATTCCATTTGTTTGGGATTGTTTTTTCGATTTTCAATTTTGTAAATATATAATCCAATCGGGACCAAAATAAGCTTGGTTGAATTTGAGTTTTCTCTTTTTAATTCGGTTTGATCGTTTAATTTATTTGTTATTTGTTAAGTTGCATCCTCTCCTATTGCTAATACTACTTAGAGCTCAACGATTCATGCTTTGATAAAACCTTTTTTACCCCTACTAGTGTAATCGTGAGTGCATCATTATCTTAATTTACACTTTACAAAAGTCTCCAATTTCCTTCCTGGCCAATTCTCCCTTCTAATTAATTCTAGTGTCGACTAGATTGATGTGTAATACTCTTTTGATCATTGAAAGTATTTACCGTAGCATTGTGCAAAACATGTTCTCTTTCTACAATGGGAAAGAGAATAACTTGATTTAAATCTAAAATTACGTGCTACAAATTCTTAAGTCCATATTAAACGCGAGCATTGATATAATCTATGCTAAATCAAATGAAAAAGAACTCAAAATAGGTCGATTTTGTGTTTTTTTTTAAAAATTTTTTTTCAAGATTACCTTTTAAATGTCAAAATCAAGCCAAAAATAAAAATAAAAAATAAAAAAATTAGTTCAAAATGTGCGATGAACTAAATACCCAAACCACCAAAAATCTTGGTCAGTTTGGATTAATTGAAAAGTCGACCTTCACCACCCTTTGATTGTGACATCTTGACTAGTGAAGCTGCCTCTTTAAACTTTTCCTTTAAAAAGGGAACAGTTTGGGTTGTCAACTTGAGTTTTGGAAGATGTGAACCATAGGGCTTTGATCATGCAAAAATTTCTACTATATCAATTATACAACATTACAAAGAATAGTGGTAATTTCTTGTGGCCTAAAAATAAAAATTGCCTCTTCACTGAGGAAAATGGTTTTTAATCAATTGGGTGCTTATTATCAGCCTTGCGAGCTGTATAGTGAGCAGATAGCAAAAGCAGAGATAAGAAAGCACTGGCTACAAATATTGCATCAAACCACCTGTGATAGAAGTCAAACTGTATGTCTCCACCTAAAACATCCGTTATGATTATCCTGCCAACATAAATCAAGTGAGCGAGATATATATATCAGATGGTAAATTAGTGTTGTTTGGTGTAAACGTGTTGTTTGGTGTAAAAACCAGGTGGGAGCAAGTTTTTTCCAGTATCAGAATCAACTAAATGTACTAGTCTAATAGCATTTTCCCATGTTCGCGAAAATGGTTAGTTAAAAAGTTATAGCTATGATTACACACCCCAATAAATTTTCAAGTAACTCAGCAAATGGCATTGAGAAGTATCTTATTCATGTTAGGAAATAGAGCGCAATTAGTTTAAAGTATTGAACATTATGAAGAACAAATATTCAAAATAAAAAGCTTATTACTAGTAACCATACCGATATTCAGTTGCCAGGCTCTTTCTAATCAAAAGAATGGATGATAGGAAGTACATTCCCATGATTTCAGAGAGAAAAAGCACGACGTTACTTGATGATCCACTTCCAACTCTGGAAACTGCAAAGAAGAACTGAGCACAACCAAAACACTTCAAGTTAGCTGAAGGATACTAGAGTCAATAAAAAGCTGGGTTTTCATTTCCAAACAGTTAAGAGGATGTCAAGTAGTTTCCTTGCGTCTATTGTGCGGGTACATGTGCAACCAAACTGGAGGATTTACTCATGAAGAAATGTTTAAGATTAAACCTTAAAAGAAGTTGAAATTATTTTGTTATCTCAAAGCAACTAGTAAAACAAAGTCAACAAGATGAACATGTGTGTTCTAGATACATAAACCATAAATGATGACATCCAGCAAACTTCGAAAAAGGACCATCAAGCATAATTTTACCTTCATCAAGTTAGTCAGGAAGCCCCTCACAGATACCACAATCAACACCCCAATGAACAGGAGAGAGATGTACTGCACGCACGAGGGAGCAATGGTCAGATAACTCCTGTCCAGAAAATAAAAGACGAAATACAAGCAGAAAGAACAAAACTACAAAGAAAGAGCCTCAGAATGAGCTCCTAAAGCTTACAGTGTCACTCATACAACAGTGATGAGTGACCCCTTCACCTATCCAACATAACACTGTTCCCTATTAAATGATGTACAATTGATTTCACTCAGGTAGTAAAGATAACCTCGACTTGATATTAAAAGACAACAGTATACTGTTAAAGATTGTCTTATTATCAATGAGATTTAGTTTAGGTTCCATATTTATTTTAATTCTTATAAAATTTTAATGTGCTTACACATCCATTATCATACAAAAAGGAAAATTGCAAATGTCTTGAATTAGCTTCTCAGCTTTCACTTTTCAAGAATGTTGATCTAGTTTCCTTTCAGCGGTTTTGCTAATAGGTAAAACCAAAAGACATTTTCTTCAAGCACTTTCATCTTCGACCCAATTACTTCCAATTTCATGCAAGAATTTTAGAAGCTAGCTTCTTAATCAAATCTCGTTGCTGAAGGTTTATCTCCAAAATGTACTAACACAAACAATAGCTTCACTCAAATGATAGGCTACCATACAAGTAGAACCATAACCATGAATACCATGAGTAGATGAAATAATGCAGAGAGTAGATAAACCTGTGATAATAAGTTGACATTTATTCCGATGTCGAAGAACTGTAAAAATATGCTGATTGTCCTTGTTACAGGATCGACAGAACCGGCCTGTCAAGAACAATATGCTTGTTGTCAAATCTCAAGGATTCAGCTATAAATTATATAAAGAAAAGTGAATCACTAAGCAGATGAAATTCTAATTTAGAAGCATACCTCCTTGAAAACAACACTCTGAAGAGACTGCAAAAGTTAAAATGGTCAATTAGCTATCTGGCTCAAATAATAATAATAAGCAGAATTTGGAGGGGGTGAAAGCAACACGAAAGATCATAGAAAGACCTATGTGTGCAGTGCAGCAAATCCACAACATAAACAAACTTTGTTGTCCATGTCCGTATTAATATGATATAGAAATGGAGGACCATAAAAGTTTGTGCAGTGGTGTCAATCAACAAGAAAAACATCAATCAAGTTTCCTGCTAACACTAACATAGGCCTGTCATATGAACTGGAAAAGAGTAGTCATCATGTGAGAGGTGCTCAAATTTACCAAATTTAACATCATTTTCATACCTTTATCATTTTATACACACAATACACAGAACACACATAGCCCAAAAGATTTTGCAAGTGACCCTTCCATGTTCGAGAATAAGCAGCAGCTTCCTGGTGTAGTCAACAAATTGAAGCAGTTAAACACAAAGAAAGTAGATTCAAAGCAATTGAATTAAATCAATAAAAGAAAGTAATTTCACGATACAAGCTGAACTAGATGATGGACCATTAAATTATGAGCTTGCGGACAAATAAAGGAATAGTGTGCTGCTCTCATAAGGTAAAACAACAAAAAACCTATAAAAACGCAACACAAAGACGAATTAAGGAAGCTGAATGAACACATATAGATAGAGGGACTACCTTGTCGAGTAGGAGACACGAAAAATACAGTAGACAACCCCCCTGCCCCAAAACCCTTCAACTAGGAAAGCTGATAAACAACCAAAGAAAGCAAAAGGTCCAAGAAAAAGATGACGGCCATGTAATATTGTCATACATGTATACATTTTGGGGGAAAGGGGGAAGGAAGGAGGAGAAGGTTTCTTGGTTGCATAATTTGCTCAAACCATGCGAGCAGAATTAATATTTTAACCAGAGACGAGGTGTGTCATTCCTGCAAAATGGTAGTCTGTTTGATATAATTAAAGGTGCCAACTGTTTGGAAATAAGTAAGCCTGATGGGTTTTTCTGAGAAAAAGAGAAGCCAAGGAATGATGAATTAAGGGAAAACAAGTTTCAAACCTCAGGAAGGTTTAGTTAAGCATCGCACAACTTATATTGCACAAGAGAGTCTGCTAGGAAAAGTTCAGAAGGGAAGAGAGTGGAATAGTAATTTTGCGCTCCCTGTCTCAACGAGACCTACTTTCATAATTCTTTTTAATATATAATGGTCGTGTCTCGGCCAGCTTGCATGCATCATCACTAATCCATCGGCTACCTGCTACCTCACACCAGCATAGATACTAACTCTGCCAGCAAAAGCTTAGACAGATGAGAAGAAAGCATCTAGTGGTCTTGTGTCTTCGTTGGGATTTGAACCCTGGTGTTACCCACTTTATTGACCACTAGGCCACACCATTGAGTGTGACTGTGACCTACCTTCTTTATCCAATCTTCCCCAAAAGCGCTGACCTATTTCTTTAAATATTTAAAAGGAGTGTTTCTCCACCCTTCGCAACAATTCAAATTAATATAACTGTTTGCTGGTCAATTCAAATTAATATAAGTTGATACTACTAATTTTATATATTTTTTGAGAAAGTAGCTTGATACTACTTCTCATATTTCACAAGTTGATGTTATATGATACAGAATAACTACTCCAACTTTTCACACTTCAAACTATAGTTTTAACCTTCTACCAAATCAATATGATAATTTATTCAGACATTACACTCTTAACAATCACATTGGTCATTTTTAGCAAGGTGGATGGTAAAAAAATAATATTCCCTCTGTTCCAATTTATGTGAACATGTTCGACTGGGCACGGAGTTTAAGAATAAATGAAGACTTTTGGAATTGCGGTCCTAAACAAGTCAAAATGGGGCCCAGAGTATTTGTGTGGTTATAAAAGCTTATAGAATTGGAATTCTTTTTGGAACGGAC